ACGCATCGTTGCACGCCTCTTCTGAAAAAGAGCTATATAGATCATTGGGCCTTACCTGGTAAAAAAAAATTCTAGTTTTAGTGTCGCTTATTCGATAACGGGCCACGGTTAACATCAGTGTTGAGTTATATGCAAATCGGTTCTGAAACCTCCCCCTCCCACGGCTTTCATCAACGCCCACTGATCAGCATGGTGAAGCACGGTCATGTATGTACATTGAACTTCTTTCGCACTGGACATAGCCAAGCGTGGTAATCGGAGGTGCGGGGCTAATCGGAGGTGCGGTCAAACAACCTCCACGAATGAAAACGAAGTGGAGGAGACCTTCATCCAGCAGCAGATTGACAAAGGGGGCATAAATTACAACCACAAATTAGTTATTCCACACAACCCGCTCGCCATTCGAATGCGCACAGCCCAAGAGAAGTGAGCACTGGGGCCAGTGTGCGTGCACGAGTGTGCATGCCGCGCGTGTACTCGTGTGCGCGCGCACCCCAACAACACCGCGACAGCGCTCTAACGGCTCGGAGAATAATTAATAACGTGCAATAATGAACGCGTTATTGCGCGAGGCGGCAGGTGGTGTGCCAGTGCCAACTCCATCATCGTTCTCGGCGGCATTTACCCGTCCGGTCCAGCGCCCCTTCCCGCACAACTTCCTTGCGTTTAGGTCGGCAAATTCTACCGACAAGTCCATTATGCGACGGTGAATAACGCCGCTCAGCAGTCTTGCCAGCACATTTTCCGTAATTTGCCGAAGTGGTTTCCGTGTTGAATGTATTATCCGCGCAAGGGCGCTGCGAGAGAGGCGAAGACTCCGCTACAAGGCAAAATTCCCAATAGAGGAAGCTCTCGAAAGCCCTTCTCTACATCTGTAACGTATTTGGCCTACTCTTCCACGCGTGCCAGACGTCTTGGAAGAGGTGAGAGTACCCACAAGTTACCCCTCAAGACGCGACCTCGTGTCGGTCGACTAACTGTGGTGCACCCATTTACACTTCTGGGGGACACTGGTGGAGCCATCTAAAACATCAGTACAGCTTCAATTTCCGTGCCGGGAGATGGCATAGAACCGGCGACCTCGCAAGTCAATTGTGAGAACCACCACACTGCCACGGCAGCATCCCGCTAGGAGGGGAGTACTTGGCGTGCAGCCAATGTGCACCATCGCCTGATAGAGGAACTAGCGCATGACATCGCGGAATCAGTCTAATCCATCAGAGGATAATCTTTTATTTTTCAGCGGCGTGCCAACAAGCGGGTTGCGACACCGTTATTGTTTTATATACATGAACGTCGCGATCCCGAGAAAGCACCAACTTGTTGCAGAACGCTGCCAAACATGAACCTGGGTCAGCGTTCACGTGCGACTGCGCGGATGTAACTTACGTAAATAGCGTGCGGTTTGCAATAGCCGGCCGCATTTACCACTTTTATTGATCGCGGACACTGGCCGTTGCTGGCCTGCAGAACGCCAACTCTAAAGCTCTCCTGTAAATAACGTACATATGAAGAGCATCTTTCGAACCATACGTAGCCACTGCTAATTGGAGGGGCGGGGAAAGACCACAAACGAACACAAAAAGCTATTCTACAGAAATTAGTTTTAAATCCAGATTTTAAAATGTATAGCTCCAGTGGCTTCCTAATATGAGAAGGAAGAGCATTCTAGACGGCCGCATAAGCACATCGGAAAGTGTGCGATGCGGTGACCGTCTTTTATTCCTATGGCCAGCCAAAAGCCGCTGCTGCCAGGATGACCGGAGCTCGTGTGACGTTTCCTGCCAAAATCGCGCGGCGTTCAATGTTAAAGTAAAACGAATGGCATACACCAACGACTGCAGCCCCAGGAAGAAAGCTATCAGTGACCATATCCACCGGCTCATTTTACAATGCCAATTTTAAACAGCTCGTTTCCTTCTTCTTCCAAGCCGGAGTCTCATTATTTCATGGGATCGGCAGCTCGTGTTTGTCTTTCTCCTCTACTTCTGTCTAATCATTCTGTGCTTGTTTCTTTGAAATATAAGAAAAACTATCCCCACACCCCTTCCACTTGTGTTGATGTTTATAACAGGATGTTAAATATTTGCTAAATAAACAAATAAGGAAATGAACACCTGCGCATAGCGCCTTAAAAAAATAAAAATTTTTGTCATTTGGTGGTGACAAATACAATTTCCTTTGAACCACAACAAGCGTCTGCAAGCTGTCGTTGTTGAGGGGTAATTTGCAACATTGAAAGATAAATTTCAAATTACAGTGATGACCCATTCTTGCAACGAACTTCATCAGGGCTTTACTATCCACCTATGAGCAGATGGAACGTTTTATCTCGGTGGCAACATCTGCCCTTGGGGCGATGCAGCCACGCAGAACGTAATACATGCGCTTTCCTGCTTATTTTGTTGCGTATTTATTGCACATAAAACATCAAGAACATGTGTCCGAGGCGACTGAATGAATTGTTTTCGTGAGGGGGGATTTGGCGAAGAGTGAAAGGAATGGTAGAGGGAGCCTCAAGACAAGCGTCTCGATAGCGAGACACGGACAGGCAGACATTGAGAGAGAGAAGCAGAATGACAGCTCAACACACAGGGATATAGAATAGTCACAAAGAGCAAAGCACACAAAGCACAAAGGCACAGAGACAAGGGAGATGGCGTACGAACAGAGAGAAAAAGAGAGAGAAACAACACAACGACACACCGAGACACGGAGAAACAGAGCGCGACAATGAGAGGCAGGGGGCAGCATCACATTGCGCACTGCTCTTAACTGGGGGGGGGGGGGGCACCTGCACGAGTTCATGCCAACTGCCTCCACGCTCCAACAAGCATTGGGAGTCGCGCTCATTTCCGTGCTCAACGCCCGCCCGAGCCTCGACTCAATAATCCACAATGCCAGGGCAGGAGGCGGCCTCTCAATGGGAGACGCGCTGTTGCCTCCCGCTTTGCAGGGGTACCTATTTTATCGACCATGGAGAGACGATTGGCCGAGCCGACCCATGACCGAGACTTGGACTTGCGTAACGATGGCGAGTCAAGAGTTCTGACCGGCGTGCATGGCGAGTGGATATCCACTCGTGCTTGATCTCGCCGGATCTCGCAAGCCAAGCAAGGATGAGACTCCATAATACTCGGATGGGTGACCACCGTGCATAGCAGGTGTTACGGGCTGTTGGGCTACATTGCGGGCAGCAGACAATAGTGCAGAAAACATGTTATGTTGTACTGTACTCCTGTGTCTTTGCTCCTCACTTTCATGTAGCTATGTATGGTCAAGTAACTCCACCCCCCCACCATGAGCCACACACATGGCTTGGGAAGAGTCCTGATCCAGCAGTGGATTGACAAAGGGATGGAGGTGTAGATGTTCGCACAATGAAATTAATCTTTCATGAAATGCAGATTCCTGTTTGGAGGCAGGCACGGGAGATAACACGCCAAAGCCAGTAGCACAGATGCCAAAACATTTGACTGCGTAAAGAGATTAAAACGCAGGCAGCCAAACACGCACCAACAGCCTCCACGTCGTAAATGTGATTCTTCGACGTTTTTCTTGCAATGGTACAAAATGTAAAAACTTTTTTTTTTATTCTTAAGAAACAGAATTAAAAACCCCTCACACCCCCTCTCCTCACAAAACAACATTATGCATAAATATCAGAAACTACCAAATTCCCAGAAACACATTTCCTGAGAATTATTTTGGCGTTAGCAAAACACATTCAAACACGTTTATGTGAAATAAAATTATGGCAGATATCTTATTAAAATTTCCCTGTGAAGGTGGAAAGCTAATGAAATGGCTGCGTAACAGACGCGCAGAGAAATCGTTTATTTGTCCTGGGCTGCATTTCTTGTTTGAATTTAGGCTTGTTATTTAAAATGTTGCTTTGATAGAAAAAACTCCGTCAATCGCACCAATAGAACAAAAGTGAGCTGCGCGCAACTTATAACCAGGCTGGTCCGCCGTCAGAGAAACCCGGCGTGAAACTTGGAAGGATCCAAGTCAAAGACCATCACCACCATCATCCTATTTACAGTGTCATAAAGCGAGCACCAGATTGTGGGAAGTCAACTGCGATCACTCCATGGAAAGACTGTCCCCCCCCCCCCCAACTTACCATTTTTTCGATACATATTGTCAGTCGATTAAATTAACTATCTGTGTAGACCTATCACCAGCGAATTTTATAATACAACTAAAAAAGCTAAACTTCACTACAATTCATGAGCAAGTTTGCCTCTCTGTAGGGATTCTTATATTGATACAAATACCGTATTCACTGGATTATAATCCGCTCCGGAAAATCACTCACCCCAGATTTCTGCCTGGTGTTAATCAAGTTGTTCAAATACCTTGGCTGAGCTCAAGGTGCATAAACCATCACGCAAACTCCGGTCATCCTTGCAACTGATTTTGGCTAACCATCGAACATCTCACGCAATCAGATGTGCTTCTGCGGCCGTTCGAAACGTTTTCTTCCTTCCAATATTAGGAAAGCCAATGGAGTAATACACTTCTAAATAAAAAGTGAAAACTCATTTCTTCGAACCGATTTTTGTGTTTAGTTTGTTGTCCTTCCCCCGTACCTCCGATTAGCATGGTTGGCTAGGTACAAAGCGTGCCTCATAATACAGAGAATGCAGTACAACTGGTGCTCCCCATACGGCCGTGGGAAAGTGGGTCCGCATAAGTGATGGAGACACGACTGTTTCCACAAATGGCCAGATTTATTTTCCTGCGTGGAGCTCTGCAAAAACAGTGTTGCGAGGGTTGACGGTGATCTGCGGTGTCCACAAAGTCCACGCATGAACATTACGCGATCTAACCCAAAAACCTTTATGGAAAACGTGCACGTTGAACCCAATAAACATCTCCCTGCTAGATACGAATGTAGATGGGCAGTGCTCATCTTCACACCTGCAGCAGCAAGCCGGCAGCAGAAGTGGAAACTCCATGGGGGGGGGGGGGGGGGGTGAAGGGTTTGCACGTACCCGGAAGTCATCCATGGTTACGGCGAGCGAGTTCATGATCTCGGCGTCAATGGTTTCGTCCTCGAGGTCGATGACGTCCATCTTCTTGCGGATCGCCTGCAGGGCGGCCTCCGAGCACAGCGCAGCCAAGTCGGCACCCACGTGGCCGTGAGTTTCATTCCCAACCTGGCAACGCACGCGGGCAGGGACAACAGAAAGACACGGGCACACAGTCAGGGCACACCAACGCAGGCTCGTCGCAAATGCTCAGGCTCGTGTGTTGGTGGTCATGCCTTCTCACGAAGGTTAATTATAAAAAATAAAGATAAACTTATTCCCCCCATAAAGCCTTTAACAGACTGTTGGGGAAAGTGCTGTTAATGAGCACCTATTAATGCTGACCAACAACTCCGTCTTAAACAGTGCGCGATGTTTCAGGCTGAGTTGACCAAGGGGAGACCAAAGACCGCTTCAGATATTCATCACCGATGTTTGGCTGTAAGCAGGAATCCGACTCGGATCGCCGGATTCATTGCAGTGTCCTAACCAATATCAATATCCGCCATTTGCCACCAAGTGAAGGTGACATCACCACGGCGCCTTGTGCCAGGGCCAGATGCACCGAGGCCACTTGAAGTGTCGAAGGCTCGCTGACAGGAGGTCACGGAACAGACCCAGGTGCCATGAATTGGCTGACTGAAAGGACTGGCAGATGCACCAGCTATGCCCCCTACTCGGTCAACCACTACACATTGAGGCACACATTCATGCATAATGACCTGTAAATCGATTTTTTTTTATCGTTTTCAAAAGTCAATTATAGATTACAAAAGTCAATTAATCGATAATGGAACAGTTAAATGTTAGGTAGAATTTAACACGTAGGCTTTTGCGACCAATATTATTCATAATATAGGTTTTTGGATCAGATCGTGTTATTTATAAATGTGTCGTAACCCTCCACCACCCGACACGGCCAAACAGTAAAAAATGCGTCACGTTTTTCAAAGATGAAGCTGATTGTAATTATCAGCGAAACGTCGTACTCAAATTTCAAAATGCTGTTGATTCTCTCTTCAGCACACCAGTGGGCTAAAGAAGTGAATTATTTTGTCCTTTGAAAAACGTGACACATTTTTTACTGTTTGGCCGTGTCGGGTGGTGGAGGGTTACGACACATTTATAAATAACGCGATCTGACCCAAAAACCTATATTATGGGCAGGTAGAATGTTGGAACCGCACGTTCCAAAGCAATTGGCCAGCGGCAGCCATCACAGTGCACCAGCAGCAGGGCTCGCCAGTCACGGCGTGGTAGATTCACACAAAGATCCCCCACATAGCCTGAACAGATTTGGGGCAAGTGCTGTTAGCGAGCACCTATGAAGGCCAGCACAAGCTCACAAGGGAGTGGGTGGCCAACACCATACCCAGCCACCTGTCTCCCCAGTCGCAATGTTTACACACTGTACCAGGTACTCATTTGAGGCCGAGTTGACCTAAAGGAGGGCCAGTTCAGATAATCGTCACTGGTGTTGGCCGTGATCGGCAATCGAACTGGGGGAGCTGTGTTGGTAGCACACCGTGCTAACTGTTGCACGACTGCTCCCCACAAACAAAGACACTCATGCACAGGCCTGAACCTTTCATTCGTCTTGTTAGACATTTAGATACGTGCGGTAAACGCTAATTATTTGTTTGCATGCGATTATGTTTCACAATAAAAACGAGATTGATAACCCTAATAGGTATAGACAGATGCAAGCGTGCTGTAACTCTTACAGACGAGCATGCGGTAATGGACACCAAGACAGAGACGCCCCATATAGCCGTAAGAGACTGTTGAGGCAAGTGCTTTCAGCGAGCAGCACTGACAAAGGCCGGCACAGCACACGAAGGGGTGTGGGCGGCCAACATCACGCCCGGGTGCCAAATGTTTACCAGCATGGATATAAAACCGAAAGCATTTGAAAGGGAAAGCATTTTTCCTGCACGTCGCACCGCTTCTGAACAACCACGGTGGCGTTAAACAGACAGGAGAAAATTACACATTCATCAAAATCAAATCAATCGAAATCTCCGCCGCAAAGCACGTAACGGCCTCGAAAACGGTACACGTCCACAACGGTGCCCTTTCCAGGCTGGAAAGGGGGGGGGGGTGAAAGCAATGAGGGATTGGTTCTAAAGCCACGACGGAGAGGGAATAAACCATTAACCATCATCGGAAATAGGAGAGGGCGCGCGCGCCCCACCCACAGCAGATCGCTCTCCAGTGCTACTGTCAAGAAGCAGCCACGCTGGCATAACGGATAGCGGCAGTTCGAGCTTCACCCACGATCCGAGAATATGGCGCGGCGTTCCACCAGACGGGCAACTCACCGCGCGGGCGGTCCCGATCACGGTGTGGGCAACACCCAGCCCACCTTTACCAACTCTGTCAACTGTCCACCCACGTAAAAAAAAAGTGGGCGAGTTATGAATAGCGTTGAGGTGGTCGGCCGCCTCAGAGGTCAGAGTGCGAAGACGGCACCTGTGGCTCTGAACAGTGAGGGGAGTTGGTTTCAAGCAGCCGCCGATTGAACCGCTTTGTCGAGTTTTAACGAGTCGATGATTCCAGCCTGGTCACCAATGACTGTACCAACAAAAAAGCCACCACGTTAAATGTGGTTTCCTATTGAATTTGTCTTAATACCAGCCCTGAGAATGACAATTGTAGGTTTGGGTGTAATGAGACAAAATCTCATCACAAAGTGAATGGAGGAAGCACAAATCCTCGACTGAGCAAACCATAAACAAGGCTGCTCGGTCGAATCCCACGGTCCTCCTGAAAGTCTCGAGACTCGGAGAGACTTTCCCGCAGTAGTGGTTGTCAGATCGCTCGAATCGGAGGTATACTCAGCCCCATAACCATCCCCTCTAAAGGTGATAAAATAGGTACCACTTCATTTCCGAGGGCAATCTCTTGCCACAAAAACATCGCCTGCAACGCCACGCAAGCTGGGCAAGACTCCCCCCTTGGCAATCATGAGTGCTTGCGCAATTCAATTTGTTTAAGGAGACATCTTAGGCGGGACTAACTCAAAACCGTTTCACGTGGTATTAGCTCGCGCTTAAAGGGGAAGGTGGCCACATCTAACGAGGCCTATAAATCAAATAAAGGAAATCAATGTCTTCCCTTAATCACATTCGCATGGGCCAATATTTCTTGTGTTTGGGTAATTCTTCAAATTAAGCTGGACAAGGTGAATTAATTTTATTTGCAAAAAAAATCAATCCGTTTGATGTGGCGTGAATTTTTCTAACTAAACGAAAACTTACAATTACAACAAAACCCACACATCCACAAACGAGCGTATTCCACGAGGCCAACTGTTAACACTAAAGTAATATTGTCTTTTTGCAATAATCCAAACAGCCACGTTACATAACCACACGTGTTATGAACTATCCGCGTGTGGACAATTGCTAAATTCTTGAAAACAGTCAGTAGTTTGGTTTCTGTCCGATGAGCAGTTGTTTCTGTTCAATAGACTCAATAAATCTATCCAGCCTGTTAATATCGTGCCGAGTCTGCAAGGCGCGTGTCTTTGCAGAAACGGCCGCTCCCATCAGAATGCCTCGCGGTGTCCGCGTCGGGCAGCCGCCCTCGCAAGCAATTAACAGAGCCCAGCCTCCACTGCCATCTCGAGGCTATTAAGCGCCACAAGCACCGACGCATTTATCAGGGGCACGCGGTTTGGCCACCTCCGATAGCTGCGCGCACGTCCATGTTAGGTCTCGCCATCAGTGCTGCTGCCGGGTAGCGCAATTAAAAAGGCGCAACAGTCGCGCAAAAGTCAAAACATCTCGCCGCTCAAGACGAACGTCGGGGCGCCAAACGTCCCTGCCCGCCGTGGCCTTGGGGGCCCGGTGGCAGAAGTTCCGCATTCCTACGGCGGGTCCCTAAGACATCGACAGCCGGTGCCCGAGATGTGGGCGACCTGCAACGTCCCTAACGAGACACTTAATTGAAGAGCCAAAATGAAGGAGCCACTTGGCTATCCCATGCCTCCAAGATACTGGACGGCGCTGAACCACGTCGGAATTACGCGCACGGGAGGCACGCCCACCTCCTCCACACGTGGGGAATTGAGGAGAGCCAAGCCGAGCGATGAATGCCGCGGAGTTCAATCCATCACTCGCATAGCATTGTGTCGTATAGTAATAGACTGTGCAAGTGTCTGGTACACGTGTGAGTCTGGAGGATTTTGTGAGACTATGGGTCTTTAAATGTATAGGTCTATGCAAGTTTTATGGGATTCTGTGCAAGTCTGTGGGTCTCTTTGCAAGTCTATGGATATCCCTGTCTGTGGGATTCTGTGCGAGTCTATGGGCTGCACGAGTCTTTGAGTCGATGAATTTCCTCTGTAAATTAAGTAAAATTCACTTACATCACTGACCACTACCCAGTACATACGTTCACAGGAGGTACAAATGGAATCCATCTGGTAACCCCCAAATGCCATCGATTGGCTTCACCAGATGGATTCTCCGATCCAATCGAACGCTGATGGTTAATATTATGATGTACCTCCCCCCCCTCCCTTCTCATTCGGACCTCGTGACCATCTGGTTTGAGAACTCCAATCACATTCACGTGGTCGTGATTTTATGGAATTATTATGGTTACAGCGCTTGACTCATGAATGGAAAGTTGTGAATGCAATTGCTGCTCAATGGTTTGACAGCTCCCAAGTTCAAGAAAGCACCCACCGCCCTCCCATCAAGATCCTCCTTGACCTCACCCTCTGCCTACCTCTTCCCGCTCATCTAACTCTCCTCAACCTCCCAAGCATGCTGTGTCCTGTACAAACTGGATTCATGTCTGTCGGTCCCCCTAACCTCCGAATTAAACCACTGCCCCTCCACTGTCACTTTTCCAAGACATCCTCTACAAATTGAGTAATATTCATATTCTTGGTTCTTTCGGTAAAGTCACATAGATAGAAAATCTAAATTAAATTAAAAATACATTTCAAATAAAAGCAAAAAACCACGACATTCCAATTGCGACACAAGCGGTCTTTATCAGGCGGAGAAAACTAAATGTTACAAATTGCACACAATGTATTGTGTACGTAGCCTACCGTGCTAAACGGAGGTGCGGGGGGAGAACAAACTCTATTATAAATGCTATCTTATATAAATAATGTACTTTAAAGTATATAGAATGTACATTTCTTTATTTCTATTTACTATGTTTTTTTATTATTTTTAAAGCATCGATTTAAATTTATTATTTTAGCCGACCTGGTGTGACTAAATGTCGGATCTGGCTGGCAGGCTTTAACCATCTCATCACCAAAGTGTGATCAGTCAACTCAAACATTACCCGAAGCCATAGCGGCTGCGGTAATGAGACGCGTAGAAATGTGGATGGTAAAAAAAAAAGGGGGGGTATTTTCTTTATTTATTTCTCAAAATATTTCACCAGGAAAATCCCCCGAGATGCAACATGTCGTTTTGCAAGGGTGTCAAGAATCTATAGACCAGACTCCGGGCCCCCATCGCTCCCCTTGAATAGACAAACACTTATGGACTTTGATTTGACACGTAAGACAGCTGAGCGTGGGCTGGGGAGTATCGCTGACTTATCTGCACACCGACTAAATCTCCGAGCTGTGGCGTTTTGTCTTCACGGTGGCTTGCACGGCGGAGGACAAAATACCGCAGCGGCAGTGACCCCCCACCCCCCCTGCCCCCGATGGTTGCACCGGCAGAACGGACACACGGCGAACGCTGCAATAATGACTGCAATCGCGTGGTAATCAATGCGTCAGGATGGGGCCTCGCGACGGGCTTGCCGGCCCCCACTGCAAATTAGGGCCGTGATTTTCTTGGGCATTAACGGTGGCCCTAAACGTCAGGCTGTTTTACAAGGCGGTCGGGAAAATTACGCCTCGCATTGTGCACGCGCGCGCGGGGGCGAGAGCGACACGGCAGTTCTGTGGCTGGCGTTAACGACATGGGTGGACCACACGGTCACACGCCAATTAGCCCCGGTCGCTTAAGCTGTCAAGGCACATTTTCGGCGTTTAATTTAATCAGTTTTACGGGCGCACCGCTAGCGTGTAATGGCATTCACGGGTATTCCGGAAACGTCCAAGATATCTGCCGCTCGTTACCTAACAATCGTCTCAAACAACTACGGTCGTTAATTCTTTTTTAGGTCTGCCATTATCGATTGATTTTTTTTTGTTTGCACTGCGATACATCTCCTGGCGCAGCTGTTACAGGGCTCAACTTACAATTGCAAGGTTGCGAGCTTAAATCCAGGTCGCGGTTAGACTTGGCCTGTCATATACAATTTGTACAAATTTGTAGCAAACAGTGGCTGTTTGTATGGTGAGACTAGGCCCCGCCCTGGCAATGTGGAATTAACAATAAGTCTAGCAATGCAGTTTGTTGCAATACACATCTTTACATCATTTTCTAAGTGGAAGGGTGCGGTAACGTTGTGGCGAGGGAGGTGATGTGGATTGATGTGATATTGATGCGATGATGAGGGAGGTGATGTGATGGTACGTCGGGTATCATGATGCGATGGTAAATTAGGCGATGTGATGGCGAGTGAGGTATTCTGATGAGAGTTAGGTGATGCGATGATAAGGTATTTCGATTTGAAGTCACGTATCACGATGATGGATTTTGATGGCAGGGGGACTGCCATGACGGTTACACCTGTACAGAAAAATATTTGCACTCAAATCACAGCCAACGACTTGACAGGCTTTTTTGCCTTTCATAAGTGATCATAAATCTCCCAACATGCGTTTCAGAGTATATGGCTGCGATACATTTCTACGTGATAAGCCACTTTGGTTGAGCTATCATTTTTGGCCAAGTCACTTTTGAAAAAGAGAGCTACGTAGCTCATTGGGCATTAATTGGTACGAAAAAATTGTTAAAACGCTCGACTCCAGCTGATCAGCTGCTGCCCCCTGCTGGGCCCCACTCAAACCCCGCCGAGGGGCGCCACCGAACCTCCCACGCCTTCCGCTGTCCAGCGCCGATCGAATTTTAATAGAAAAGATGAAGTACATCTCACAGGCACAACACAGCGCACGTATGTACACACACGAGCGCACACACGCACCATTACGCGCGCACTTAACACAACAAAAGGTCGCAACAGACGCAACACGTACGTGCATAACAAAGCTGAAGTGATACAGGCATGCGGCACAACGAAGACTAAGATCCCCCATGTAGCCTTCAGCAGGCTATTGGGGCAAGTGCTGTTAGCGAGGGCTTATTAAGACCAGCTTGACCTACAATTGGGGTGGAGGTTGGGGGGTGGTCAGCGACACACCCAAGCAACCTTAACTTCAGTTTGTCATGTGCAACACAATCACTCCTTCCAGAACAAACATCAAGACTTCTTTTCAGGACAGTGCTGGATTGGCCAATTCCATTAAATCAGTCTTTTGTATGTGGAAAGAATCAGAATGTTTTTTCATACTGGAGGAATCCGATTAGCTATAAAACTCTTTCATCAGAAAAAAAAAAACTCGGTGAGGGTAGAACGGTGGTGCAGCAGGTAGCACGCGCTGTGCTATGAAACCGGTGATCCCAATGTGATTCCCAGCCATGGCTAACGCCACCAGTCAGGAGCGACATCTGAACTGGTTCTGGAGTGCACCCCATCCTTCACAAAATATATTTGATCAGTGTGGTGAAGTATGGTTTAAACATAATCTTTACTTATTGTGGAGAAACCAGGTGAACTATGAAGCTCTTTTTCACAGATGTCCAGTTGGACATCTGTGAAAACAACAATCACCAGGGGTCGACAACCAAAATAACAAGATACATTTTTTTCGAATTCGGTAAAAAACTCAATATTTCAAGAGCCGCAATGCACGTGAATATACGGCGGTCCTTAAAAAACGTCCCGAAGCAGTTCTTGAAAGAGTCTCATGCAGCTCCAGAGCCGTGGGTTGCCGACCCCTGGTCATGACCGACCAGCCATTTGCGAGCCCTTCACCCCGCAGCGGTTGCACAAAGAGCTTCCCATTAAAATCACTCTGAGGTTGAGTCACGGGTCTCGGTGACGCCACCGTGGCCCCAGGTGCGAGGTGGGAGGCATCACCTGCTCAAGATCCACATCCGACGAGAGCTTCATGTTCTTGGTGTGGATCTGCAGAATCTCCAGTCGTCCCGTCGAGTCCGGGATGCCGATGTCCACCTCTCGGTCAAAGCGGCCTGGAGTCACGGGCACGGAGCCAGTCGTTGAGACGACGCACACCAACGTACAAATGTGCACAGCACACCATGACCACCATAGCCCGTGTAAAGTCTAATAGGCTCGGCAACCCCGAATCATTCCTTTTATGTAGGCCGCAGAACATTCCATTATATTTACAATTGTACACATGCACACACCTGCGAATGTATTCACACGGAGACAAAGGGACCCACTGTATAGCCTTAACGAACTGTTGGACCAAGTGGTGTTGGTGAGCGCCTATGAAGGCCGGAACGGCACTCGAGGGAGTGGGGGTTTGGCCAGCACCACACCCAGCCGCCTTTCCCACTCACGTGCCGATTTTTTCACAACAAAGTTGACCTCGGGGAGCCCCTGGTGTTGGCCGTGAGCGAGAATTGAATTTGAATAATCGGGTTCATAGCGCAGCGCGCTAACTGCTACACCACCGCTCCACTCACACACAACCATACATACAGGTCATTCATTAAAAAACAATTCAGACATTGGGAATCGTAGGGCAGTTCCATACACTCACCATACTGTCACTTCCCACAAATCACCCATGCCAGGTGAGTCGCCTGCAACCAGAAAACCTGGCACTGGAGCGTACGGATCTTGCCAACCCGCATCGATGAGCCGTGCCCGGCAATGTTCAATGAGAGATTTCCCCCCCAAACGGTGGACGGATGGGAATTTCCTCACCGAATCGACGCAGCGCGGGGTCGATGCTGTTGGGCCGGTTGGTGGCTGCCATGACGATGACGTGCGTGCGCTGCTTGAGGCCGTCCATGAGCGTGAGCAGCTGGGAGACGATGCGGCGCTCCACCTCGCCGTGCGTCTGCAGCCAAGCGACACCGCGAGCACGATTATACACGGGCAGGGCAACGAACGCCAACGTTCGCACGATTGCTCAGGCAGGCGTAGAGATTAACCAAGCGATGCACGGTACGTTACGCGGCAAGGAGCATTTACAATCACCAAAACTCTGGTCATCCACGCAGCGTATTTTGGCTAACAATCGAACAAAGACGGTCACCGCATCGTGCGCTTTCAGATGCGCTTCTATAGCCGTCTGGAACACTCTTCCTTACGATATTAGGAAGCCTCTGGTGCTATGCACTTTTAAAATCATCTCGATTGAAAAAAAAATTCTTTATAACTACTGTGTTTAGTTTGTTGTCCTTAACCCTTACCTACGATTAGCGTGGTTGGCTACATATACGGTGCAAAAGAAAGAAATTCAACATACATACAACATAAAACACCACATTAAATTATAAGAACGCGCACGTAGCACGACAATACACACAATGAACACAGCAAGCACGCAAAAAATAAATGCGCCTGTGTGTTTAACGCGGATATTTGACACGCACATGGCACGGCGTTCAGCTTTACGGAACGCAAGCAAAATGAAAACACCCGCAGGAAACACAATCACGCAGTAGAGCAACCACAACACAAGACGCTTTTAATGCGATACAATGGACGCAACCACATGCACGCACACAAACACGCGCACACACGTATACAAAGCAGAAGCACATGTATTTAACAATGATGCGATGCATGCACAACAAAGACAACCCTTCCCCCGTATAGCTTTCAACTGAATCCGACACGATAACATCTCCATTCACTTGAATGGTAGTCTAACAGGGTAAAGTTGTTGCCACCTGGTGGTAATTATTGGAAATGCCGTGAGAATCCCCAGTTATTTGAATGAAGATAAATCTCCACTGAATTTCACGCTATTTTAGTGCCAACTGCGACGCTTTAATCATACTGCGATTAAAAATAATATATGCATCAAGTTTTATGGCTGGCTGCTGGCTGGGATCCCTCTCCACCCCAACAACAAATCTCCTGTTCGTGGCTGTGGGGGCCTTTGCTAAAAAAACCTATCTAGCTAACTGGCAAAACAGAAATGTGCTACCCATACAGAAAAAAGCAGATGGGAGATTAATCCCCTTGCTGTACTGCCACCTCCTGCAAGGCAGAGTGGCGACTAAAACCCCCACAGGGAAAAGAAATTTGATGACATTTGGGCAATCCACCAATCCTTGCTGCCTCCACAGTACTGAATTGCAGGTGTGCATAGCCCCCACAACCCAGCCATTTGCATATTCAGTCATTGCCAATTAAGCGGCAATTTCAAGGATTTGCCACTAAAACGGCACGATTTGGAAATTCCACGTTTAAAAAAATAAAATAAATCCCTGACCATAATCCCATTCCGCGTTGCGCTGAACTCCACCATCGTCTCACCTTCTCCCTCTTTGGTGCGATGGCGTCAAGCTCGTCGATGAAGATGATGGCCGGGGAGTTCTTCTCGGCCTCCTCGAACGCCTTGCGCAAGTTGCTCTCCGACTCGCCCGCCAGCTTGCTCATGATCTCGGGACCTGGGGCCAGCATGGGGGGGGGGGGAGAGAGAAGGCAGCATGGGGACAACTGTAAATTGAGACTATAATAGTTAAGATGCAGACTGCACCCTCTCAATTTATCGTTTGTTAACGTAATCGATTTAGTTGCCGACATATTCGCGATCATGTGGGCACCACGTTTAAGACCCTCAACGAGTGAGGTGCAGTTTTAATTCCATCAGTGTGCAATTTAAAATGTATACTTTTTTAATTCCCGGGAGGCACAGTTAATACAGGGCCCAGGTACATTCCACCCACGGATGATCGATAGTTAACCGTGTCACGAAGTTGCTGTGCTCACCGTTGATGAGGAAGAAGAAGGCGCCAGTCTCGTTTGCCACGGCACGAGCGATCATGGTTTTGCCGGTGCCAGGGGGTCCATAAAGCAGAATGCCACGCGGGGGCTGTTACCACACACACACACACGCAGATTTGTGACACAGATGCCTGGTATCACCTTAATAGACTGTTCGGACAAGTGCTTTTAGCAGGCACCTATGAAGGCCAGCACAGTACATGAGTGGGTGGGGTGGCCAGTACCACACCCAGCCGCCTCCGTCTCGCTAGTGGCAATGATTACACCTCGCAACAGGTACTCATTTGAGGCCGAGTCGACCGAGGGGAGGCCCAGGACCGATTCAGATAATCGTCACTGGTTGTTGGCCGTGAGCGGGAATCAAACTCTGGTCACCAGGTTCAAAGTGCAGCGCGCGGACCGCAACACCACCACTCTCCGCTACGCTGACGTGTGTGTGACACACACAAACACAAAGATCCCACGTATAGCCTCCATCAGACTGTTGGGGCAAGTGCTGTTAGCAAGCACCTGTGTTAATACACAGCGAGACCGATCACGCCTGGCTGCGCTTGCAGTGGGCGCACCTTCACGCCGATCGCCTTGAAGAGCGCCGGGTGGCGCAGGGGCAACTCCACCATCTCCTTGATCATGGCGAGCTGGCGGCGGCACCCGCCGATGTCGTCGTAGCCGACCTCGTTCAATGCCTCCTCCTCGTCCTGGTTGGTCACGCAAAACAGGCAACACGAGCATGTCAGCCTCTTCCGAACCCGCGCGTGACACCCCCACTTGCTGCCACCACCGTGTCCCGCTGGCTACGTGACAGCGCAGCGAGGGTGGCGGGTGGCTGTGCAGTGATGGGGAGATGCAACACGTGTGCGCGGTGATATCATCACTGGCTCGAAGACATCACTGCAATGCTATTGTCACACGCTACAGCCGTGTCACTACAGATCAGTGCCTCTGTAGTCTAAACGCTGGTGGTGTCGCTACTTTCCAGAGCAATGAAACGTGCAATAACGCGTTTCATTGCGTAATGTCTCAAGCCCCCATTTGTTAGTGGAGCGCCGCAGTGGCGAGATGTTGGCTACCTCGCCTGGTATACAGGTCGTGGGTTCGATCCTGACCCTGACGCCTGAAAATTTGGAGTTTGCATGTTCGCTCTCTCTCCCCGTGGTGGGGCGTTTTCTCTCCGGGTTTTCCCTTCACGTTTAGAATCAACATGCGTTTAGAGTATTGGCTGCTATAAATGCCAACATAAGCCACTTCTCGTTGGACTATCACTTGTGGCCAGGTCGCTTCTGTAAAAGAGCTATATAGCTCAGGTGGGCCTCACCTGGTAATATAAAGTTTAAATAGTTTAGTTTAACTGCGCGAGTACCGACTGTAGGGGGTCTCGCTGACATACGAGTGCCGTGACTCTCCGTGGAAGTGGGTCAATTTATACAAACAATGCATGCGCATAAAATGTTCCCGAACACATTCAAAAGATAACTACTTATTTAACATGATTTCTGTTTTTCGTTTTTGCATTTACAATGGTCAAGAATTTTGTATTTGTGGTACAGCCGAGACTGAGCTCACATTTGGATTCAGTGTTGGGACCACAGACAGATATTATTCACTCCATCTGTGAGAGTAGATTTGCAGTATGCGTAGACAATGTTTAATTAAATTCAGTGTTTGGAGTTTGAGTACACAGGTACAAGGTATTCACTCAGACTGATATTCCGTATGGAGGAGTTGGCTAAAACAGCAGTGACAGGTAAACAGAGCTCAACTCGGTCACGTAAAGATAATGATTTGCATTTACAAGGACCTTACATGCCTCCTTAACTAAAAACACCTATCACATTTCATCTCAACTCAACCATTCCAATGGCCTGCTGCAGTCCAGATAAAGCCAGGCGTGATGCACCCCCCAACATTCGGGAACGAACGAGGGCATCCGGGCTAGGTCGGGGTAACAACCGGGAGCAGTGTACTTCAGAGGAGGCGAGAGGGGTGTCACCTCTCTCTTGATGGGCTCGCCCTCGCAGTGGATCACGGTGTCTGGCGCCACGATACAGAAGGGGTTCGGGTCGGTCTCCACCACCTTGAACTCCACAGCGCGCATCCCGCCACGCACCAGGAAGATGTCCCCTGCACAAAAGCGCAAGGCAGTTATAACCGACGACGAACAACAACAAACAATTGAACACCGCGCGGGTTTCATCGGTTGTGCCCGGTGGTACAGCGCTCTGGTGTTTGTTGTGTGGTTGTGCCGAGCGTCGTTTGTGGTGCTCCACCTGCCACAGGCCGTGGTGCAGGAAGAGTTTAACGTAAACTTTATTGCCATGGAAACACCGATCCAAAAGTTAGGAGTTGTTATTCGGCTTCGAAAAATCACAATTGCGATCAGGGGTGCCAAGGTGGCAAGGTGTTAATTACCTCGCCTGGTATACAGCAGATCGTGGATTCAATTCAGACCCGGACGCCTGTATATTTGGAGTTTGCATGTATCTCTACCCATAGTCGTGGATATTTATCCAGGTCCTCTGGTAATTCCCTTCCCATTTAGATACATGCGTCTTAGAGTATTTGGCTGCTATAAATTTCCACGTGATAAGCCACTCCGTTGAGCTATCATTTGTGATAGCCAGGTTCGCTTTTGAAGGAGAGCGACCTAGCTCAGTGGGCCTTATCTGGTAAAATAAAAATAGTTTAGTTTCGTAGACAGATCTAACCATGGCGAGTACACAGTGTGGCGCTGTCGAGTGGACGGACGGACCGCTCAGCATGGCCGCGCGCACCTTTGCGGACTGGCCGGTATGCCTCCAGAAAGTACGGCTTGAGGTAGACCTCAAACAGGTTCCCCGTGATGCCCTCCACGGTGTCGTCCAGCGGGAGCACGTGCACGCGCTTGCCGTACTTCACATCCGGACACGCCTGGATGCTGCACGCACACCACCGGGGACGGAAGGGGGGGCACGCAGCAAGAAAAACAGCATCAGCAGTTACTAAGGCAGCTCGATTACACTCATGAATTTGTCGATTCAACTCAGGAGGCCATGAGATAGTAGTATGAGAATGGAGTCTTCATTTTATTTCCTTTTACGTCAAGTTGTGCGAGGAATGAAGTAGAAAGATAGGTGTTGTGGCCGAATACCGTGTAGATTATAAGAAACAGCCAATGTGGTACAGTCCTCAACACAAGTGGAGGAAACAATGAGTGAAGTTCAAGGAGGCATTAGCACAAAGAGAAGACATTTTTCTTGAATGTTGAAAGATTTGTCATTTCGTCCAAATGGGTGACACACTGTGGTAAATAGTGAATGCTCAACTCGGTGGAATGGTCGTGGGTTCAAATCCTCATCATTCCTCCATCAGAATCTTTATTTATCCTGGAGGAATCCGATGAGCTATGAAGCTCTTTCACAAATGTCCAGCAGGACACCACAATCCATTGGCTATCCACTGCTGGATGAAGGCCTCTCGCAATCCTGCAACACCACAATCCCATTTCACTGCTGCACTTGGAACTGAACCCATCGGCTCCACCATCACGGTGATGTTTTTTTGTTTGCGTTTTCTCCCTTGGCTGCCACTCAATCACCAACCTCGTCCATGGGTCGTCATCCCCTCCTAACGATGCGTGTTGCCCCAAATCAGAGATGAGCCCGTCAAGACGACGTCTTTAATTTGTGTTCGTTCCCCGACTCGTGTGTTCCTCTTTCCGCGTCTCATTGCAATTCCAAACAGGGATTTGGCTGCTATTCAGTCCCAGTAGCAGCAGCAGCATCGATAAAAAAGTTTCACTTTCAGGGGAGAAGTCAACAGTGGTCATCTTTATAGAGATAGTTTGCCTTAATACCACCAAGAAAAATACAAAATCACGGACAAAAAGTGGCACAAAGAGACTGCTCGGCACATTTTAACACTCTTGTCTGTCAGTGATTGATGTTATAATAATGTGCCGGGAAGTTAAGTTTACCGCATTAACTCTCTAATGCGTCTACGGAAATGGAGCAGAAAAAAAACTGGCAGTGTGTGTGTGTGTGGCTAAACTTTTAAAAGGAATCTGACTTTGAGCCAATTGCCCAAAGTCAATTTGTAGATGCAATGAATGATTTCATGTGACCAACAAGAATAACTTCGCTTGCAGACGGCGATGGGTGCATATCGCATAGACCGTCTCCACATCGCAGGGGTGGCCGCCTCACGGAAGGAACAGCGGCGATCGCAAATCACGATGATGAGATTAGAGCCGAGACTATCAAGTCAAGTAATCAGCTCAAAATTATAAAAATCGGCTACTTTTTGTAAATGGATTACTCCGAAAGGTTCTTGAAAAATGCCGGCCACCCCGACTTCCAACCTCCACAAGGCCGCAAACCCCCAACAAATTCACGTCCGGCGCGATGCGGCCAACAATGCTGCCAAGCCACGTCCATCAACTCCTGCCCAGCGGCACACGTGGAAAAACAAAACTTAAGACTGTACAATGAAGCCGTGGCGGGGCCATGGCCCAGTCAGCCTGGCACGGTTCGGGAGTCGCCAGGTTGTTTTGTCAACTACAGAAGCCGAACCGACCGCACCGATAACTTAACGGACGAGCTGAGACGCACGAACTAGCGCGGTGACGCCATGTCCTCACAAGCGTACTGCCATCGCACGCATTGAACGCATCATGAGCCCCAGCCCCCCCGAGCAAGATTCGGATGTTGATTTGGTTTTCGACTCTGCAGGCGCAAATGACCGGCGGCAAACAATGCGATGGGTCCCCGCGCTGGCTCGGCTCAAATGTGCCGGTGGGAAGAGGTAAAACAAGAGGACGCAAGCAAGGCACCCCCACTCCCGCCCCACTCACCTGACCACGTCGCCCAGGCGCACGCGCAGGTTGTTGCGCACGACACGGTTCATGCGGATCTTCTCGTCGGAGCACGTGTCGTCAGAGAGCACGATGCACACCGTCTCGCGGCGCTTCTTGCCCTTGAGCATCACCGTGTCTCCACGGAACAGCTGCAGCTCGTCCATCTTCACCTGGTTTTGCACCACGTCACAGCACGCAGCACGCCACACATCATCAATCGCTTCATATAAATACCGCGATTCCCATGCGGTAACCCATTTCGAGGCGCCACACGGCAGGCACACCACACACATCAGCTGATCACGTTTATACTTGAGATAAGCCATGCTGTAGCTTCATTGCAACACTGAAACCTTTCCTGTTCCGATGACGTACATGTCAGTTTTTCTTACAATTTTGTGTACGTCATCGGAACTGAACAGGAAAAAAATGTTTCATTAAATAACTTTATCGGTACCGAGGCTCCCACAAGGTCATGCGGGATGGCGAGGCAGTTTAGCGCCAGCTACCATAGAGTGCGGTCGTGTTGCTACAGTTCTCTGCAGTGAGTACAACTAAATAAAATTAATGCCTAACCACTTACACGTTCCGAGATTCAACAGTCAACGGGACACCCACCCTTCAACTGCAGTCATCTCGGAATAGGAAAGGGTTAATCTGCCGACTCCAAAACGCGACGAATCATATTGCATTAAATAATTACGAACGTTTCCCGAGTGGGCCAGAAGCGACGAGTGCTTGCCCTAGGCTACTCCAGGAGCTGGGCTCGCAGATGCAAAATAAGCGAGGGTGGTGGAGGTGTAAGTGGCGATGCCAGTACGTGCATACGCATGTTGAACTTCACTTACACCGTATGTAGCCAACCGTGCTAATCGGAGGTGCGGGGGAAGGACAGCTAAACACAAATAGCAGTTCTAAAGAAATTTTCAATCTAGATTTAAAAGTTCATAGCTCCAGTGGCTTATTAATATCGGAAGAGTGTTCTAGACGGCCGCAGAAGCGCATCTGAAAGCGCGTGATGCGGTGACCATCTTTGTTTGATGGCCAGCCAAAAGCTGGTGCTGCGAGAAATTTGCATGATGGTTTATGCTCCTTGACAAGATCAACAAGGTATCGTATTTCATCTGTGGCAAGCACTTTGTGTGTAATGAGTGCGACCTCATAATGTATTCGTTCAGCAACCAATGCATCTCAGCGAGCACTGAACGGACACTGTCAGCAGTGTTGGTGGTGGCAATGGCAGGAGAAGAGGCACGCACGCACACACCTGGGAGAGAGACACCACGCTGTTATCCTCGTTGATCGCCTCATCCACCACCAGCCGGTTGGGTCGCGCCTTCTGCTTTAGGATCGCGGTCGCCACATCGTTGGGACTGCGGAGACGTAGATGAGCAAGGAGAGTGAGCCACTTGCACTCGCATTTACTGGCCAGCGTCAAAACTCGCTCCCTCACAAAACGCACGCTCAAACTCACACGTGCATACACTCAAGCTCTTACTCATATAAATATTCTCACATACTATTTTTATGCATATACACTAACATACACTCTCACCTCACACAGTCGGCCGGGTACGGGTACCCATTTGCGACCCTGGTGCGGCCGGGTACGGCTAAGGAATCAAAACCCGTTTTGCGACCTGACAGTCATACATTAACAGTAGCTTGCACAGATTCTCACATACATATACTCAAACACGTGTCATCATGCACACAAATACACACATTCTTACAGATACACGTGCTTAACTCGCACACACATATGCACTTGCTCAAACTCATAATCACATACACACTCAATCGTTAACATACAAATAGCCACACATTCACACAAGATAAAGATTCCCAATGTAGCCTTTAACAATATTGTTGAGGCAAGTGCTGTTAGTACCTACAAAGGCCAGCACAGCACACAAGGGGATTGGAGGCCAGCACCACGCCCGGCCACCCTTGCCTCCCAAGTGCCAGTGTTTCAGGAGGGCCCTGTCAAGTTCTTGCAGGAGGGGGAAATGTTGCTGTGTATAATCCCAATTGAATAACTTGCAGGTCATTTTTCATAATTGGGATGTTTTGAACAATAGCAGTTGCACTGTGTGCTTTGTTAGCGATGGGAAGGAACTGGAGAACATGGATGACACCAATGCAGATCACGGGGAAAAATGAACTCCTCGCAGAAAGGCGCCCGAGTTGGAAATCAAACCCAGGGCCTTCTTGCCGAGGCACGAGTGTTACCAGTGCGCCACCCTACCGCCCATTCCAGAGCAAGTTGGCTTTGACTGTCGTATAGTAAAGTCTTAGCAGGACATAAGGTAAGCAACCCAGTATGTGAAAGGCGACTGAAGTAGATTTCTTTCGTAGTTTTGCGATGTTATCTTCAGGGGGCCATTCTCGTTGGCACTTTGTGATGTTGTGAGTTCTGATTTGATATTTCTGTCAGGGACTTGTGGCCGATTAATAGCACCACTCGCAACACAGGTATGGTCATAACCCACATTCTGTATGATACACTCACGCACACGCCTTTATAGGTTGTTGAGACAAGGTGTTATTGGTGTGTCCAGCAACATACCTGGCTACCTTTGTCTCCCCAACAATGTTTCAATCCTAAATCAGCCTCTCAATGAAGGACAAATCACTTGAAATTTAGACAGTTCTCATATAGTTCAAACTTAGGAAGGCCCAGGACTGGTTTTGGACTCTACTTGCTGGCGATGACAGCCATGGGACTGGAATCAAACTAAAGTCAATGTCTTTTGTAAAGCAATGGGCAAACCACTGCACCACCGTTCCCCTATAGAGTACTGCTCTCCGATGCACTTACGTTCTTCGGAAAAGGCAATTGAATATTCTGAATGTGCTGGCTCCAAATGTTTGAGGATAGCGCTAAAGGACACGATAAGTTGGAGATTATGGGAGATATTTTAGAGGCTCTGGAATAGAGTTGTTTTCACTATTATTTTCGTGGACTATGAATGGATCACCATGTACATATCAGTCATTATCCTGCTCAAATGAGGTGATGCTCATCTCTGATGGCAGGGGCGTGTCTGTCCATAAGGCCACCACTCTTGACGTCCCCAGAAAGCGGTAGCAATTTTATCAACCCTGAAGAGATGATGGGCTGCGCCAACCCCCCGAACCAGGAGTTGAACTCGCAACTGAACGTTTGCGAGCCCCTCGCTCTACCGCCGAGCCACCTGGAGCCGTTGTATACAAACGCACACATTATGGAGCAGTCGTATTGCGTCAAGAGCTGGTATCGATTGCTCAGCAGCAGTGGCCAATTCCAATCAGTCCCAGTGACGTCAAACGCACCATCGGTTTTACACCAACCCAAGTCGCCGATCGACTCGAGAAAAATCGCTCCATCGACCACGCGGATCAATACCGATGCACGGCACAGCCTCATGCCTGTCTGCACAAGGAGTTTGTTTTTTACGAGGATGTGATATTTTTTTTTAATGCCTTTGTGTGCTTATATAATCGGCAACAGAGGGAAAATGCACTCATCCAGCAGTAGCTTGACAAAGATGGACGTGTACCCTTAAGAGACATATTTGAGAGATGATTGGTTTTGGCATGTGTGCATTGCCATGTCTTAAGCACATCAGTGACGTATTAATTTGGCATTCATAGCACAGTACACATGCAATATCTGCAGTGCTTAGCATCAACTATGTCATAATTTGCATGTTAGCGCCAAACACAAATATACGATGACTTCATAAGAATCTAGAATAATAAATAACACCCATTAATCATTTGTATGTGATTAGGCCCTTAATCCAGCAGTGGATTGCGATAAGAGTTGCACATGTAAAATGTATATTTTTTTTCTCATGAAGTCATCATCCAATGCACGTGGAGTTGTCTATAGTAGGGTTATCATGATGGTCGGGCGTGGTGCTGGCCACCCACCCCCTCGTGTAGTGCCAGCCTTCGTAGGTACTCACTGACAGCACTTGCCCCAACAGTCTGTTAAGGCTATACAGGGGATCTTTGTCTTTTATCATGATGGAAATGTATGTATGTAGAACTTATTTCACGCCACACGTAGCCAACCATGCTAATCGGAGGTCCGGGGGGAAGAATTACAAACTAAAACACAAAGCAGAAACGAAGCAAATGAATAAGAAACAAACACAAGCAGACAATAGGCCTCCTTCAAGTATCCGTCTTTCCGCATAGAAAACCTAAATATTTCTTACACAACGCATTAGCAACATGGCCTTCTGGGAGTGCATCATTTCAGCAGCATTGTTCAAAACTTCGACCGGTGTGAAATCACGGAAAAAATACTTTGTGATTAAGTGACGAAACGGATATGTGAAGGTGACATTGCCTGCTTATTAATTTGCTGCTTCTACCTCTTCACAAAAATGCTAATGGTTATTTTGAGAAGTAAATAAGTAGCTAGGAATAGTGGGGCTGTGGGCAATCATGAAGAGAGGCGCTGCCATAGAGGATGATTCTTCTACTGGTGGGCCACAATCTTGATTTGAAGCTTTCGTGACTGCAGGAATCCACTCTTTGGTTCTTTCGGTAAAATCACGATCGAAACGTCGTGATTTGGTTTATTTTATTTCTACCTACGTGACTTACCAAAAGAACCAAAGAGTATGGTGGGCCAAAACCAAATTGGCCCACTGAGAAATATTAGTGAGAAGAGAGGTAACAAGAGCTAGCGACGCGATGAGATTAGAGAGGTAAACCATGCGATTAAAAATACAGATGAGTGAGATAAAAGCAAGATGAGAAAAAAGAGAGCTGTAGATGAGAACTAGACGATATAAACATACAAGAGCTGTGGAAAAAAGCGAAAGATTAGCGGTCACATGCACATGCTATGTCATATATAAGTGATGACATCATGAGATGGTGTCAAACGAGCTGCCGGCACAAGCCAGTTGTGTTCTAGGACACCTGCAACAGTCGATAAATGCAGTGTGCAACATTGTTCAAAAGGGAGGGTAGTATCGTACAATAGTATTTATTGCAATATGACTGAAGAGCAATCTATAACCAAAATGTGATCACTTACAAACGTTATATTGTTAATTACATATTTTCGTTAAGTAATTCTATGGATAATACACCATTGTTCGAGTGAACTTTTGGTATGCATATTATAATGCATGTCTATGTGTACGCTGCCTGTGGAGGTTTTAAATCCAACAAAGCGAAAGGTGAAAAACCAAACACAACTGGGCATCAGAGGATTTATGAGCCAAGGATGGTTGCAGTCACTGTGTCACTGCCCATGTCTCCTCTGGGTTTCCTTAAACCCCCTTTCTATATAGCAGCTTTATAGTAGCAACTATCACTCTCATCAGGTCGTCACTTTCAAATTGCTCCACACCTCTCGACAGGTCACACCGCGAGCCGCACAGCCCGATTCTTGCCAATGTTTCACCAGAAAATTCTGACCGCCGCAAATGTATTTAAAAGTCCAGGTTCCACATAATGAAACTCACAAAAATTAATGTACCGCTCTGCACAGATGAAGACGAAGGTGGTGCTTCGTTTCCGGTGGTGGCCCTGCGGTTGTGGTGTTAATTCCCACGGTGTAACAGCCAATTTGAGCATTTTCCTGCATCGAGCATCCAATTTAAAAAAAAATCCAAATGAAGCGTAAGAGTCAATGATTTCCGATTTAACGTTTTCCCACATGTTCAGGTGGATCAGCGATACAGCCAGCAGTTTCCCAATCGGAAGGTTGCGAGTTGAAATCTTTGCTGGAGGTCGATCATTCCTCTGTGGGGATGTAAAGTGGCGTTATGTATAGAATCACCCCCACCATAGGAATGTGGAATTTACACCACTAACTCAGGGCTGGAAATAAAAAAACTAAACTATTTTTATTTCACCAGGTAAGGCCCACTGAGCTATATAGCTGTATCAGAAGTAACATGGCCACAAACAATAGCTCAAAGTGGCTTGTGTAAATTTATTGTAGCCAAATACTATAAAACACACGTTTTTAAATGTGTAAGTAAAAACTGGACCAGGAGAAAAAGCCACACCACCACAAGGAGACACGCAAACTCCAAATATATAAGTGTCAGGGTTGGGATTGAACCCCCGGGTCTCATGTTTACCTTGAAAAGTAGTTAACATTTCACCACCATGGTGCCAACTATTACAAGAGTACTGTTAAGCACAGGAGTTATTGCATGTGTCGCGTGTCATGGATGGAAAATTAATCCATCACATGGAAAAAGAGCAGCACCTCAATACTTATATAAGCAGGAAGTCCACTTTCAATCGTTCAATTTTACTATTCTATTCCCCAGTAAGAAGTGTCACTGTCATTGGTGTCTTCACCGTGTGCCTCTAGCTGATGGCCATCGCCCAAGACCATAACCAACTCCTG